CCGTCGTTGATCCCAAGACAACAAGCCTAAAAATAATTTTCCAAATCGAAGTTTGTTTTGGATTGATTAGGCGACAAATAAATAACAACTAAACAGTTGTAGACGAAACGTAAGTGGTGTTAAAAGTTGTCTAGTAGTCAAGGACAATTTTTTTTATATTAATAATTTCTCAGCTTTCTTCTGCTGAGTTATTTGGCTATTACCGTTGCATTAGAAAGTTCTAATGAATTGGACAAGACACTGTGGCACAATTCCCAATACTTTTACGCGAACCAGTAATAGCAGTTTGATTTACCTCGCTAAGCTTTGTTCCGTTAGACAACACATTTTTGTCAGTCAGCTGTAGAACGTTGTTAATAAAACAAAATTCTTCACAACCGGGTATAACCATCGCATGAACTTCGCTTTAGAATGTTTGATTCCTATATAAAAACTGAAAAAAGTAACTGTATCAGATGACATGTAAATTACTTTAGAAACTATTCTAACTTAGAATGAATTTTATCTTAAAAATCCTGATAACAAGGCTGCAGAATATGCTTACCCTTATTTTACTGCTCTTGTCTGGCGATTTATAAATTTCCATTATGAGACAGGCATCATATGGAATAAGTTTTTCGGTTTAACAGTTTAATCTGTTCTATGGTTCTCGCAGTTTTTCTTTTAATAATCCTACGAACTGCAAACACATGCTCTAATTTAACCAAAACAAAATAAACGACCCCGTGGAAGTTTTATAATATTCTGGAAGAGTTCGCACATGAGATTTTTTCAAATCATTTTTTTTTAAAGCTTCTAGCACATACTTTTTTACTGTTTTTTCATAAAACTTATTAACTCCTTTAGTAACAGTTTTCAACATAAATTCGATAATTTCATCAGTCACTATATGTCACAGTCACTATATGAAAGCAGAGTTTTAGTGCAGCTATTAATCTAACCGTTTTTTAAATCCATGAAGTATAAAATCTTGAGAAGACCACAAAGATTGTGTAAGCCACACATTACAAGGCATTCCTTCACCTTCATCATAAACTTTGATTTTCCCCGGCCATTACTTCTCTGTCCCCAAAACATACTGAAAGCAGGCTTTGTAGGTGAAAAGATGATCATAATTTCTGTAACTTTATTATTTAAGGATGTGAAGTCTCTTCGACTATCAGCGTAGCTCCAAAGGCGCTAACTGAGCAAAAATTTTGTCGAATCAAGATTATTTAAAAACCAGAAGACCTTAAAACTGTCGCACTGTTTTCTTCTTCCTGTTGCTCACAAAAAAATAAAAACAACTTTGGTAGTTTGAAAAAACCAAAACATCAAGTTACCGAGCCAGATACCAGAATCTTTCACATTATTTTTTCTCAAATTCTTTTTCTGGATAAATCACGTCCAGTACAGCACTCTGAAATCTTCCACTCATTACTTCATATCCAAGTTGCACAAAAACTTACTGATTCAAACTGGTCTACACCTAGCTGTAGGCTCCAAAAAAAATAAATCGATTTTTGTGCGTTCGAGTAGTTTTCCTATAACTTATGTAACGTAATATTGAAAAAAATTGCACACAATTTGCTGTATAACATTGATGGAAAGAAGAAAGGTGAGCTTCAAAAGAAAAATTGAGGAACACTAACATGTAATGCTCCATTATCATTACCCATATACCTATAAAGTTTTTCATCATAAAGCTCCCAATGGTTTAGGAAATTTCTCGAATATAAACTGTTTCTGAAAAATATCTGTTATTGTTACCGAACAGATAACAAAAAGATGGATTGTAAAAGCGGTTCTGATAACAAAAATACTGCTGATGTACTAAGAACATTGTTTACTTTGCCAAGTATGCATCAGCCATAATCGTAAAATTGAACATCCGCAAATAAGAAAGTAAACTGTAAGTTCCGTCGATCCATAATTTAATCAAACGATTTGGATTGATAACTGCCATATCAGCACCGATAAAAAAATCCACTCAGCAGTAAGTCCCTTCATTGGTTCAGCAAGAATGCTATATCGTTGAAATAGAAACCAGAAATGTAAAGTAACCAAACAACGACTGGAAACAAATTTTTATAATCTGAATCAAAAAATTTTATATAGTATTGTCACCACTGAATAATACAATCGATGTCTTCTACGAACAAATCTGTATTTGCAGACGCTTTTTGGTTAATCTTAAACGGCTTAAACAGAAAAAATAAAAACTTGAGAAATTAACGGCACATAAGCCGAATGTTACGTCCTTCTGGAGACATAGTTCCTGAAACGCTGAATTTTGCGATATGTCAAGCAGAATCCATTCGTAATAATGGTGAAATGTGTAGCATTCAAATAAGTTTTGCACTAATTCATAGTTATCACTATTCTTACTATTTCTGAATATAGTTAAAATTGCAATTTTTGGCGCACTGAAAACTGTAAATACGAGAAATGAGGAAACAATGATGGGCAAACAATTTCTGAGCTGCTGTTTATATGATTTTTTTCAAGTCACTCCCACAAATAAAATGTCCCAAGCCAAACCAAATTAAGTGACTTGAATTGATGATCGCCATACCGACGCCAATGAACAAAGTCCATTCGGCAGTAACGTAGTGCCGTTGGAATATAAACTAAGAATAAGAAGTCATTAGACATAGGTTGAAATCAAATTCTTAAAAATAGTTTGAAAATTTTTATCAAATTTGTCACTGCTAACTAATCTTGCTGGTACGTTTTACAAACACGTGAGCTATGTATTTGCTGATGTTTTGTGATCAGTTTTAAAAGAGAAAAGATATGTCTTAAGAAAACAATAGCATATAAATTAAATGTTGCGTCTTCCTAAAGACACTGTTTCTGCAGCGTCTCACTCTGCGAAATACCCAACACAATCCATTTGTAATTATGATAAATTGCATAACATTCAAACAAGTTTTGCGCTGATTCATAGTTATCACTGTTGCTGCGATTTTTAATACAGTTACAATTGCACTTTTGGTGCATTCAAAGCTGTAAATATCAAAAATTAGCAAGACAGTGAAAATCTAA